CACCTTCAGGATTTGCAGGTGGGGATCAGCAGCAGAGGACAGGTGGCTCACAGCAGAGCTGGAAGTGGACAGGAGCCTCTTGTGACAAGGAGCCTGGCCATGTGAACAGTCAGGAGGGAGGTGAGATGACCCTACTTCTGTCACAGTCTCCTAGACACTGTCTCTCCTGTGTCACAGTTATGGCAGGATTGCGGTGTTCCAGGGACTCATCCGAGGACAATGGCCTCAAGGCTGTTCCCATCCAAGACCCACATCCCATCCCTGTAGCATCTGTGGATTCTCTCAACCTCTTCCTTCTACCTTGGGGAACTGAACAGTGCACCTGAGCATCACACCTGCAGAAGCAAGGAGTTCACCAGGAACACATACAAGGTAGCTTTTGGCAAGACAGGGTTCACTCAAGGACTGTGCAGAGTGACCTGAGACTGGGCCATGGGGGGACAGGTTGAGCAGGATATGAGGTCCTGGGCTGTGCTGCTGAGTCACACCCTGTGCAGCAGGGTCAGGGTCAGCCCCCTGGGGAGTGACCTGTGGGGCTGCCCAGGGCCCTGTGCTGAGAGGGGCCCCTCATGTGGGTTGGTGCTCTGTCAAAGCATCTTGAAATTGTTCATGATTTTTGAACAAAGGGTATGGCTTTTCCTTTTGTGCCAGACCTTGAGAATTTCAAAGCTGGTCCCGCTCTGTGTCTCTGATGGAAGTCAGGAAACTGTTACCTGGGATCTTCATGGTGGCGGAGTCATTAGCACCAATAATTGGTCCAATGCTCTGGACCAATGACAGGTCATGAACACCCTCATTTCCAAATCTTGCTGCTTCCCTCCAAGGGCAGCCACCCTATTGTCCCCTACTTCCTGCTGCTTCTGGTCCTCATAGTGCCTCCCTGAATGTTTAAGGGTTAACTAATTAAATTTCTCAATCTAATGAATCAAAATATGTAATAAAAATCAATATTTAATGGCGATGCAACAGGCAACTAGAACGTCTTGTCCACCATGAGACCTTTGACAGTCTTTCTCCCACTGGAAACCAGTTTCCAGAGCCTGTGGCATCTGTCCGCTGGGTGAATCTCACACAGGTGCCTCCTTCTGGGCCTGGGGTGGGGGAGACAGAAAGTTTGGGAGGGGAATTGGGTCTGCTCCCTGGGAGCATCTGCACCTGTCAGACCCTGGGCACGTTCCAGCTGGCAAGGACCATATGAAAACACCAGGGAGGCTGTGTGGTCACAGAGACTTTTCCCCAAACCCCCTTTCTCTCTTCCCTGTGGCTCCCAGTGGTGTAGACCCCTTTGGCTCTCCACGTGAGTCCTGTAATTTCTGAATGAGGAACTGAGACCCTCCTGAAAGACTGGACTCAAAACCCACATCACACAATCAGCAGCAGCACCCAAGGGCACCCCAAGTCACCTGCCTGACTTCCTTCTTCCAGGATGACCCCGCCATCACCCACTGCACAGGGACAATGGCTAGACATTGTGCCTGGCTTTCTGGACAAACTTGGGTCATTTGATAAGGGCCTTTGGGATCCACCACTGTCACCCAAATACTGAACATAGCTTTGGAAATTTCAGGGGGGATAGGCCACATGGACCCCAAGGTTTGAACTTGGGGAAACTGAAACCCCCACCAACTAATGGGACCTATCCCATGTTTCTGTCTCTTTAAAGGCAAACAGTTCCTCCACTGGCTCCACCCAACCTCAGCTTCCTGGCTCAGTGGGTTTGGAGGTGGGAAGGGCGAACACTGTGTCCCCATATTTAAAGCAAAAGGAGCAGATGAGAGAGCTTCATTGAGGACAACCCGGGAACTGGTCAGCCAGTAGAACAGAAGGTGAGTCCTGCAGGGAGGGCAGTGGGGCCAGGGGACGTGCAGGGGGTGGCTGTGGTCCGAGGAGGGATCAGGGACTGTGCAGATGCTGCTGCTGAGCCTTCCTCCTCCCTGCATGGGAAATTCGTGTCCCCAGGGCAGGTGTTCAGGGCTGGTGGCCATGTAGAGATGAAGCCGTCCAAACCCCTCTGTCCACTGCCAAGATAAGGATTTCAGGCCATGTGGGGACCCTCCAGTAGTGGGCCAGGTCCCTGGTGCAGAGGAATCTAGGACGCAGGGTCGGTCACTGAGCAGAGGGAAGCTGGGGCCCCAACGTGTGACATGGGCGGTGAGGGGATGCGGGGCTGGGTTGTGGGGAGGGGGGGCTGGGGGCTCAGGGCTCTTGTGCGGGAGCAACTCAGAGAACCCCTGTTCCCACTCTCTGGCATCCCCACAGATCTCGGTTCTGGGAGAGAAAGAGTGCCCCTCCCTGCCTGTCTAGACCTGATGGGTGTGGTTTTAGTGTTTGGGGCCTGAGAAGGAGCCAGGCAGAGGCTGCTGTGGCCTGTAGTTGGGGGAAGGCTGAGGTCACACAGACTTCCACCCTGGCCCCGGCTCTGCCCAGGACCTGTGAGCACCGTGACCTTGGGTGAGTGTCTCAGCATAGTTGAGCCACATCTTGTCTTTATTGTGTAAGTGAGGATGAAGCCCTGGCCGGGTGGCTCAGCTGTTTGGTGTGTTGTCCCCCACACACAAAGTCTGTGGGTTCGATACCCAGTCAGGGCGCATCCCTGCTTGGAGTGTGAAAAGAGGCAACCCATCCATGTTTCCCATTCATATTCTTGTCTCCCTCTCTCTCCCTTCTTTCCTTTCTAAAATCAGTAAAAGTATCCTCAGGTGAGGATCAGAAAAAGGTTAGAATACTAAAATAAACTTCCTTGCAGGCCAGTTTTGTGGAGTAAATGAGATAATGTAAAATAATATATCGGGGTGCTGGGTGTATAGTATTCAGGAGTAGTTATGCTACACCCAGGGTAAATTTTTTACTGTGGAAATATTTTGGGTTATTTGAAGGTAAAGACAGTAATACCAGGAACTTCCATGGACTTACAGCAAGCTTCACCAACTACCAGGTGATGCCCATCTGATTTCACCCACAGACTCTTCACTCCCTCCCCACTGCACGGGTTTTGAGGGGAATATAGGACATTGTTTCAGCTTTTCAGTAAATATGTGAAAACATTGAAAAATACTGCCATTCTCAGACTTCAAAAAGCAAATAGAATAAAAAGATACCAGTTGCAATTGGATTTTCCTGATTGTCTCATAATTTAAAAAATTGTTTGACTTGGATTCAAATAAGATCCATAAACTGCAATTATTTTACATGTCTTAAGTTTAACTTAATATGTCAGTTTCCACCTTCCCTGTTGCTTTCTGGGAGATTTCTCTGGGTAAGAAAGGGGGGTCTCCTGTCCAGCAGAATCAGGTGGTGTGCATTCTGTCGGTTCCATCAAAGGTGTCAGCTTACCTGCTGCTCTCATTGCAGCGTTTGTGTGAATTTACTCCGAAGGGGAAACATGATCAGATTCTAGTTGGTCTGATTTTGGGGAAATGCTTCACAGGTGCAGCAGTGAACTCCCATCAGAAGGCCCATGACGTCTGGTCGTCAGTCTGTCTGTGACACTAACTGACACTAATGGCGGCTTTAGTCTCATTAAGGGTCACAAGTGATGACACTCAAATGTTGTCATCCCTTCCTCTTGTATTGGGTGGAATAATCCTGTGAAAAGAACGCTCCCCTCAAGCTCTCTCTCATCTCCACGAGGAGCAGGTGTGTGAGAGACACAGATGAACACCTGACTCTTCCCCTTTGTGGGTCCACGTGCCGAGCAGGGAGATGCTTTCCAGCAGATGCCCCAGAGATAGAAGGGCCACTTTGAAGAAGGCATTGCTATGACCCCATGGATTTCAACATGTGTGATGCCTTTCCATTCACTGGAATTATTATCAGTGCTCAAATTTTCCTATCCGAGCCCTGTTAGATTCTTCGTCCCTGTGACCCTGCAGTGGCCCCCAGTCCCTGTGACGAGATGCTAGTGAGTGGTGAGCACACCCGGGCTCTCTGGCTGACGAGGGCCTGTGGGCCCCACGCACATGTGTCTGGCCCGGCCCTGGAATCGGTGCTTTCTCCTCAGAGCCCTGACCTTTGGTGGGAAATGGCCTCTGAAGGCCAGAGCTGGGCACTGAGGGGGCCCATTGTCACCAGGGTCATTCCTGTCTCTGTGCCTTTCCAATGGGCTTCACACTACACACACACACACACACACACACACACACACACACACACACACGCAACTAAGATGAGGATTTTTTAGGACAATTGGAGATCTTTTTTTCATGTTTTACATTTTTAGTGATTTGGGTTTTCTTTTTGTATGTAAAACTTACTGGAGATGAACAATGAAATGACTGCATTTCCAAGTCTCTTGGACCAGTTCCTTGCGCAGTTCATCCATCTCAGAAAATACCATTAGATTTATTTGTTTCATTTGCTTTTGACATTAACATTTTAAAGTATAATTTTTGGTGTATAACTAGGTAAACTACCTTCCTGGTTGCAAGATCAAACCTATGGAATCTGCGTGCACCCAGGACACCCGACTTCGAGCCCCTGTCCCTGTCCCCCACCCTGTCTCTCCCATCCCTGCACAAGGAACTTTTGTGTCGGTTTAGTTTTCAGATTATCCTGCTGGTGCCTTTTCATATATGTGAATAGTGTACCTGTTATAGTTCATAGATGATGTTCACATCCCCCTTACTGGAGAGATGGTAGGTGAACTCCACATTATTTCCTTTCCCTGGTGGTAGACACCCTGGCGGTCTCCCCGCTCTGGTGCAGGGAGACACTTCTCAGTCCTTTTCACGGCCGGCCAGTCCTCCCCAGTGTGAACACACCTTAGTTCATTCAACCCGTTGTCTACTTGTGGCCACTGGATAGAGTTTTCTTTTTGCTGTTGAAAGTAATGATACAACAAAGAACCTCATGTATGACTTTTGCTATAATTTTTGTCAGCAAAGTTCAGGGACATAAGCTAAAATTGGGGATTGGTAACAGAAGGGAAGATGCATGTTGACTTTGCATGGTACTGCTGGTTTCTGCCCTGCGGGGTTGGACTGTGTTTCCCTCCTCACCAGCTGTGCAGGGGAGGACTTCTGACCTCTGCCCCCGCCCCCTCCGGCTGACTCTCAGCACAGTCTGCAGTTCTGCCGGACCTGGAGGGGACAAACAGCATCTCATCATGGGAATATAAGTGTAATTATAAATAATTGTATTTAATTGTATTATTTTTGGTTTTGTTTTATTCTTCTCTATTATGAGTGTATGCTACTGTCTTTGGATATATTCAAGGCACATTTAAATTTTCTCTGAATGTTTATTTCCACCTCTTACTCCACTTTCTGTCAAGGTGTTGAACTTTAGTTTCTGTGCTTTTCCATGTTCTTTGTATAACAGGGAACTTCACCCCCTTGATGTAAGTTGGAAATTGTTTTTTCCTTAGTTTGACATTTTTGCTTTAATTTGTCTCTGCTGTTTCTTGTCTCACATTATCTGTGTGAGTTTTTTGTTATCAAACTTATTAGTCCTTTTCCTTACTCTGTGTCAGATCTTAGAAATATTTCCCCTGCCCCCAGGTTACAAAGAACCTGTCCACGTTGTTTCTCTTATGTCCGTGGGTTCGCTTTTCCATGTAAATTACGTGGAACGTAACTGAACCTGAGTGGCGTGAGGCAGTGGAGGCAGTTCCCTCACTCCTGTGTGGTCACTGTGAGCCCAGAGTCGCTCTGTTGCCCACCTCTCTCCCTGTCGATGTGAGATGCAGCCTTATTTAATCTACGGAAGCACTGTAATCAAATGGAATGTAAATGAATACAGTATGAATAATTTGGCCTATTTTCTGTCTGTGTTTCCCTGTTCTCTCTGTTTGTGCATCAGCCCCATTCAGCTGTAATTAAAGAAACTTTGTGTTTGACTCCTGGTAGAGCTGGTCCTCCCTCCTTATATTTTTTCTTGGTAGTGCTGAATATTTTCTTTTTTCCTTGTCCAAATTATCTTTATAATCCATTATATTAACTTTAGAAAAGTACCTATGAATTGTAAATTTATGAAAGGTTTTAAACATGAGTCAGCATTGAATTGGGTCAAAAGTCTTTTCTGCATCTGGGTAGTTTTCTTCATCATCTATTAACGGGACGTGTTGTCACAACCAATTTTTCATATGAACCATCCTAGTATTTCTGAAATAAATGCCACTTAATTATGGTGTATACTTTTTGTTTAGAGTAAAGAAAAGTATATACCTTTTCTTTAGAGTTTAATAATTTAGTATTTTTGTATTACTACTTCAAAATGAGACACATATGTAGCTTTATTTATTGGTGAAACCTTGGTTAGTCTTTGGGATCAACATTATACTTGATTCTCAGAAAGGACTGAAACTTTCCCTTCTTTTGTGTGTGATCAGGGACAGCTCAGGGAGCACTGAGAGAGCAGAGCTGTGAGGTGTAGGTGCACTCCCCTGGGAGGGGCCTGGCCCTGGTGCTCTTCTGTGGGGAAACTCTGTTGTTTCTTCCCCAGTAGTTGACCTGTGTCATCTCTCTGTTGTCACTGGGATCAGTATGAATAACTGTGTAGTACAAATTTTCAGGGAGGAAGAGAGGGTTGGAATGGTCCCCATTTACCTAAGTTGACCCCTCTCCCTCCCCTTCCTCTCTTAGGGTCTTGCAGGAACTTGCACCCAATCCTCCTGAACCAGCATGGCCAGCCTTCAGGACAACACTCTGCGGATCATTCTGGTGGGAAGAACCGGAAGTGGGAAAAGTGCGACAGCAAACACCATCCTGGGGGAAAGGGTATTTGATTCTCAAGTAGCTGCCAGTGCTGTTACCAAGAGCTGTCAGAAAGCATCGCGGGACTGGAAGGGGAGGAAGCTTGTTGTGGTGGACACCCCAGGGCTCTTTGACAGCAAGGAGACACTAGAGAACACCTGTGAGGAAATTGCTAAATGTGTCCTCTTCTGCAGCCCCGGGCCTCACGCCATCATCCTGGTCCTACCGGTGGGTCGCTTCACAGAGGAAGAGCAGGCTGCAGTTGAATTGGTCAAGGCCATCTTTGGGGAGCATGTCATGAAGCACATGATCATCTTGTTCACTCAGAAAGAGGAACTGGGTGATCGGATGCTGAGTTATTTAATGGCAATGACAGACAAGCGCCTAAAAACCATCATCAAGGAGTGTGATTTACGCTGCTGTGCCTTCAACAACAACAGTGCAGACGAGGCTGAGAAGGAAGATCAAGTGCAGGAGCTGGTGGAGCTGATTGAAGCAATGGTGCAGGAGAATAAAGGGGCTCACTTTTTGGGTCCCATCTACAAGGACATAGTGGAAAAGCAGAAACACCTGGAAGTGGTCTTTGAGAAAATCTGTGCTGATTGATCAGTAAAGGAAAAACTGCAAAAAGTAATATGATCAAAAAGAAATACCAAAGCAAGGAATAGAGAAAAATTTGAAACCACTAGAAGAGAAATATGGTATACATTGAAATTACAGAGGAAGAATTTGAAGAAATATATCTACAGGTATTTCCAAGTAAATTCGAAGTGTGCTTTCAAATACATGGCATAGTTTCTGGGAATAATGCAAATTTTACTTTTACTTCTTAACTTACTGTGATTTGTCCCTGTGGTAGATTGTATTTTCCAAAGTTGGCTACAGAAATATCTTCTATACCAGCTCTGCTTCTTGGACTCTGCGCTGCTACTCCTTCTGTGGACTTATGGGCTGTGTGCCCACCTTGAAATTCCATGGACTCTGTGACTGCTTTGATGAGTAGTGGATGGTCTGACTTCTGAAGTTAGAAAGGGACTGTGCTGCCTTGCTCTCTGCAGTACCTGCCCTTGGAACATGGCCCCCGTGCTGTGAGGAAGCTCATGTTGCCCATGGAGAGGCCCCAGGAAGAGGACTGGAATCCTGGCACTATCCCCTTGCTGCTCTTCCATCTGCCAGTGAGACCACCTGCCAGCCGTGCAAGTGTGGCCACAGGGCAGTGGGCTCTCCAGCTGCCAGCAGAGCTGCCTCAGGGGAAGCTGCAGACAGCAAAGTTGGGTCATCCCCACCATGTCCCACCCAGTTTGTAGATTCATGAGAAAAATAAATGCTGGTGTTTCAAACCACTAAGCTTTGGGCTGGTCTGTTGTGCAGCAACAGCTCCCCAGAGCATCATCCCAGCTCATTCCCCTACCCCACAGTGCTAACGCAGGTGCAGAGTGACTGAATGGGCACAGTCAGGCCAGAATACACTGTGCAGAGTTCAAAAACTCAATTTTGGAGAATTGAAACAAGAAATCCTGCATACATCACATGTCAACCCCTCTGGTGATGCACATTGTTTCTGTCCTTGTGTATGAGCCCACAACCAGTGAAGCAGCAGACCACTCCAGGAGAATTCTGTGGTCCATGGAGGCCTGGGAGGTGCTCCATGCTTTTATTGTTTTTCTCCCTTTTCTTGTTCAGGTGCCGTCATAATGTAAAACGTCCCTGACTGCAACTTAAAAATATCTTTCGTGCCATATTTTTCCTTTGCCTCTGCAGATCCACACCTTGGCCCCTTTCACCCGAGCTCTTTGCCCCAGGAGGCTGATCTATGTGGGTCACTTTGTCATGAACTCAGGGGTTCACCACTTGGGGTGCTCTGTTCAAGGACAAGGTGTGGTTGTCACAAGGTGGTTTATTTACATGTAGCAAGTGAAAGAGATGGGAGATTCATATTCAAAGTTCTTTCCTCACAAGTATGACACATGGACATGAACTAAAGGGGGGGAACGTGGGTTGGAGAGGGGGTACAGGGTGGAGGGGAGTGAAGGGGGAAATGGGACAACTGTAATAGCATAATCAATAAAATATATTAAAAAATAAATAAATAAATAAATAAAAAAACAAAACAAAGTTCTTTCTCTCTGATGGAGGCTGAGCCATTGCTTATGGACACTGATTGGTCAATTGCTTATTGATTTTTCTTTTTCTATTTTTAAAAAATATTTATTTATTTTTAGAGAAGTGAAGGGAGGGAGTAAAAGAGGGAGAGAAACACCAATGTATGGCTGCCTTTTGAGTGCCCCCTACTGGGGACCTGGCTGGCAACCCAGGCATGTGCCCTGACTGTGAATCGATCCTGCAACCCTTTGGTTCACAGACTGGCACTCAATCCACTGTCCATACTAGCCAGGGCCTTTTCCTTTCCCTTTCTCTTTACACCAAAGAGAACTCTTTATTTGATTTCATGTTAATTTATAATGAAAATTTTATTTATTATATTTTTATCATTCCTTTTAAAGTGTATTTTATTGATTATGTTATTACAGTTGTCCCATTTTTTTCTCCCCTTTATTCCCTTCTGCCCTGCACTGCCCTACCCTCCAGCATTTTCTCCCACCTTATTTCATGTCCATAGGTCATACATATAAGTTCTTTGGCTTTTCCATTTCCTATACCATTCTTAACCTTCCCCTGTCTATTTTGTGCCTACCTATTAAGAACCAATTATGGTTGTTTTCCCCGCATTCTCCCCCTCCCACTCCCCACTGGTAACCCTCCATGTGATCTCTATTTCTGTGGTTCTGGTCCTGTTCTAGTTGTTTGCTTAGTTTTTGTTTTTATGTTTTGGGTTCAGCTGTTAATAATTGTCAGTTAGTTGTCATTTTACTGTTCATAGTTTTTCATCTTCTTCTATTTCTTAGATAGGTTCCTTTAACATTTTATATAATAAGGGCTTGATGATGATGAACTCCTTGAACTTGGCCTTGTCTTGGAAGCACTGTATCTGCCCTTCCATTCTAAATGAGAGCTTTGCTGGATAGCGTCATCTTGGATGTAGGTCCTTGCATTTCGTGACTTTGAATACTTCTTTCCAGCCCCTTCTTCCCTGCAAGGTTTCTTTGGAGAAATCAGCTGAGAGTCTTATGGGAGCTCCTTTGTAGGTAACAATCTCCTTTCCTCCTGCTGCTTTAAGGTTCTCTCTTTATCTCTCATCTTGGATAATGTAATTATGATGTGCCTTGGTGTGTGCTTCCTTGGGTCCACCTTCTCTGGGAATCTCTGAGCTTCCTGGGCTTCCTAGAAGTTTATTTTCCTTGCCAGATTGGGGAAGTTCTCCTCCATTATTTTTTTCAAACAAGATTTCAATTTCTTGCTCATCTTGTTCTCCTTCTGGCACCCCTATGATTTGGATGTTGGAACATTGAAAGTTGTCTTAGAGGTTCCTAAGCCTCTCCTCATTTTTTTCAATTCTTATTTCTTCATTCTATTCCAGTTTGATGTTTATGTCTTCCTTTTGTTCCAAACTATTGATCTGAGTCCAATTTTCCTTCCCTTCACTGTTGGTTACCTGTGTATTTTCCTTTATTTCACTGTGTATAGCCTTCGTTTCTTCCTTCATTTTCAGACCAAGCTCAATCAATTCTGTGAGCATCCTGATTACCAGTTTTTTGAATTCTGCACCTGACAGGTTGTGTATCTCCTCGTCACTTAGTTTTTTTTTCTGGAGTTTTAATCTGTCCTATCATTTGGATCGTGCTTGTTTGTGTCAGTGCACCGGTTACATGGTTGAGGGGAAGAGCCTTAGGTATTCGCCAGGATGGGGCAACCGACTGTGGTGTGGTGGTGCTGTCTCTGGGGGAGGGGTCAGAAAGGGAACAGTGCTGCTTGTTGGGCTGTCACCCAACTTGCCATTACTTCCCTTGCTTCCCACAAGTGGATCATGCATTTGAGTGCTGATTCCTGGGTGGGTGGATGGGTTTGTGTTGTTCTATGATCCTGTGGGTCCCCCAGTGAACTCTCCAGTGAGGCTGGGAGTTTCTTTTGCCGCCGCAACTCCCACAGATTTTTACAGCCAGAGGCTTTGAGTCTTTAGTTCCCCCTGCTGGAACCCTGGGTTATGCAGTCTGTCTCACTCCCCAGTTGTTCTGCCTGGCTTATCCTTGCGTGAAGGTGGGATCGTCCACATGGTCCACTGCCTTGCCATACATCCTCTCTGCCTGCATCTCTGCCCCTCCTACCTGCCTGGATGAATGTTTCTTTAAATTCATGGTTGTTGGACTTCCATGCAGTTTGATTTTCTGGCAGTTCTGGTTGTTCTTCAATTGGTTGTTATCCTTCTTTTAGTTGTGCAAGGAAGCGAAGCATTTCTGCCTATGTCTCCATCTTGGCTGGAAGTCCACCACATTGATTTTTCTTTGCAGCTGGCTGCTATTACCTGGTTCAACTCTAACTAAACACATCCCACTTACAGCTGGTCTGCAAGCACTGAGTTGCATGTGAACATTTGACAAGAACAACACTTAGTGAGAGTGGTCCTGACCATGAGATCCCTGTCCTATCAGACCATGTCAGTGGATCCCTGGCTCTTTGAGTCTTGCTAGGCTTCTGCCAGTGGGAAGTCCAAGCAGGAGGTCTCTTTGGGGTAGAGAAGCGAGGTGGTGGTATTTGTTCTCCTGCCTCTCCCCTGCAAGGGAGAGACATGACCTGAGGTAACCCAAAGCGAAAGGTCACACCTCCTCTGCCAACCCCCTTCTGGATTCCAGTTCTCTGTCACCCCCTTAGGGTTAGGGTGTCATTTCCTCACTGTTACCAGCAATGTCCCTTGTCACTTGCATGCCCTTTGCCCACCGCTTGTATGAAGCTTTTCTATCACCAAGGCTTGTGTTCCTTTGGCTCTAACACTCAGATTGGTGAACCCACTGTGTTCGTTACACTGGGGAGGTCATGGGAGGACATGACCTACAGTTGACCTGGAAGCTGGACCCAGACCCCACCCCACAGCCCATCCTTGGAATGTGTGCTCAGCTCACTCTGTCCCCACACAGGAGCTACCTCAGGAACACATCCTTGAGATAGTGACGTGTTGTTGAGAACATCAGGATGGTGCACATGACTCAGCCCAGCCAAGGGGTCTATGTACACTTCTCAGATCTTTTGTCAGGTGCACAAAATATTTGTCTTGGGGTCCACCCATGACAAGCCTTGTAAGTAAGTTTCCCAGCTCATTAACATGCCACCTCCCCAGTGGTCTGCAGCTCCCTGGGGTCTCTCCCTGCTCCACATGAGGGCTGGTGGCACATTATTCCTGGGAGGTGAACTACCAACCTGGGCTTCTGAAAGAGCAGTCTCATCGGTGGTTATACAAAAAGATGAAAAACGGAGTGCCTTAAGTAATGGTTCTCCAGTTCTTTATTCTGTTGAGAGTATCTTGATCTTCCAAAATTCTTCCTAAGTTGAGATTTGGAATCCACAAATAGTCGTGCTGCAGAAAATCATCATCATCTCCTGCTCCAGGTCTGAGAGCTGAGCTATGAGTCTGTATCTCAGTCCCTCACGTGTTCACATCAAGGAGCATGCTGGGCATATCCATGCACAACACATAAGTGATTCAGGTGGGGGAAGGGGAAGCACAGAGGGTGGGCAGGGATGACTGCAGGGCATGAGGAGCAGACTCAGGGTCTGGTTGTGGAGATGGTGTCCCTGGTGGAGACACATACAAACTCAGTCTGCTCTCTGTTCTCATTATGGGCAGTTTGTTATGTGTCAAAAATGCTTATTTGTTTGTTTTCTTCTTTACATTGGGTATTTGTCTTTTTATTAGTGGCATGTAAGTTCTTGATGCATTTTCTATTTGTCATCTCTTTATCAAACATATTTACAAGTTTTTAAAAATATTTTATTTATTTATTTCTAGAGAGGGAAAGGGAGAGAGAAAGAGGGAGACAAACATCAATGTGTGCTTGCCTCTCAAGCACCCCCTACTGGGGAGCTGGCCTGCAACCCAGGGATGTGCCCTGACTGACAATCAAACCAGGGACCCTTTGGTTCTCAGTCTAGCACTCTATCCACTGAGCCATACCAGCCAGGGCCTTTACAAGCTCTTTATGAAAAGAGTGATGTGCAAACATTTTCTCCTACTTTGTAGCTTGCTCTTACTTTTACCATTTCCTTACTGATTAAAATATATTTTGCTAATTATTTTTCATTCTTTTTTTAATATGAACCTTCTTTTCTTCCAAATAGTAATTTTATTTCTTTGATATTTATTCCTTATTTAGTTAAATTTATTGGGGTGGTATTGGTTAATGTAATTGCATAATACTATTCTATAATACATCATCTGTATATTGAATTGTATGTTC